GCTCACGTTCAACGTCGCAGCGACCCGCGGCAAGATCGGCGAAGATGTTCCTTATCAGGTAAGAGAGCCTGTTATCGTCACGTATATTGCACGTTGATGTGAGATCTTACTCGATCGAATGTAAGTAGATGAAAGCGGAGTCGTCGAATTGCGCGTTGCATCGAGCAACCTAACCTAATCTTGACACGCCGGCCGTGTCGGCTGCTAACGCGTGCGCCGCTTCGCTTGTGTTATATCGAAGTGATACAGCTGCCTTTGGACGCAAATCATGCAGAGCAGACCGATGTTTATTCGCGTCAAGACACACAATTGTCGATATTTGACATATTTAATAGGAATGTTCAAAACTGAAGATCGCATTGAATTGAATTGGCATCGTCATTGTGGATGATGAATTGTATATCAAATGTAACGTCTATCTACTCAATAATACTATTCGCTCATGTATATACATACACTGGAAAAATGATGTCTATCAACAGCAGTATTTTAATTGAAAATTATTTTATTAATTCAACAATACTGTTAATGAAACAAATATGTCGTGTTCTTGTTTTAATAAAATTTTATTTGTTTCATTACTATTATGAATTGACAAGATTATTTTTAATTAAAATAATACTTTTGATATAACTTCATTTATATATATATATATACACATTTATTTTTTATTTGATGATTGAATATAAAGGCACCTCCAGATGATATGACCAACGTATGCTACATTAGCAAATATCATATACATGACATATATAATTATTCATATTAATATTTAGCGAATGTGTGCAAAGTTGATCTATATATTGGCCATATTGTCTGCACGCACCTTAAATGAAATGTGCAATGTGAAATAATTGAGAGCAATAAGAGAGAAATATTAAGTGTTTGATGAGATTGATCGTTACACAAAGTATCTGTTCTATAAAGTATAAAGAATAAGTATTGTTTTCTTATTGATTATAGCAAATTTATAGTTTGTAAGTGGAATAGTAAAATGTAAAAAATTTGTATATTTTATGTTCCATTTATAAAAATGTTTAGAAATAGATTTTAAAATATTATTTTTTTCTAATTATTTGAGCATGTTAGAATGTATTTCCTAGGAAATATTTTGTATTAAGTATACAGATAGAGAGATTCAACTTTTGTAAATTATTAGTGTATAATATACAAATTTTTACATTTTAATATTTTATTTATAAACAAGCTGTAATCATTTTACAAATTTGCTACAAGTATAGTAAATAATCTATATTTTATATACATAATTATAAATTTTACAAAATTATATAATTTACAAAAAATTGATATCTGTATTTGATACAAAACATAAGTATTCTCTGGTACATACGTTATAAAAATATGATCAAATAACTAGAAAAAATAATATCTTGAATTCTATTTTCTCAAACATCTTAAAATAGAACTCGTTTTTATTGCATTCATTGCCCTTTACTTTTTTTAATACGCTACAATAGTTTATCTAATTAAATATATATTAGATAACGTAGATATATGTAGATATGTAGATATGTATCTATAATTAAAGAAAAATGTAAAAAACAATTCGAAAAGGTATAACGAAAATTTGTTTTCTCTGAAGCATTTGGGAACCTAAGGGTACGAGTGCACTTGCGGTAAATGAAAGAGAAGCGGCGGAATCGCGGTGAGAATTGGTCAAGCGGTACATTTCGCTCTCACTGGCCGCTGGTGCTTTTATTTCATTTCAATGGCACCGCGGGATCAGCGGGTACGTTAATGCCTCGGCGCGCGAACGCAAAAGAGCGGCGAGGGGATAATTTATAGGAAATGGGTTGTTCGACGCTCCAGAGTAATTTAATTAAAATAAATGTCCGCGCCGCGGAGGAACGTTACCCGCACGGACGGACCCGCGGTTCCACGACTGCGAATAAAATGCAAATTCAGACCCTTCATCGGGGAGAGGGTCGCGTATGTATGCATATAGGTATAGGTAGATAAAGGTGCCCGCAAGAGGGTAAGTGCGGATGGAGGGTCCGACGGTCTCTCGATGCCGATCGTCGCCCGTTCATCCGTTGATTCGATAAGACCCGTGTTCGGTTAATTTCACTCAACTGTTTTAATAAACGTAACATTTTGTTTTACTTCTCAGTGGTATGCCGCGATTAAACGTCATCAAATGACATCAAGAAATTCTTATTTTACGTTGTTATCATCTTACGTTTATCTCAATGTATTTCTAAGTAAGAGCAAGAGCACACGATAAACAAAGGATGGTATTTATAGTCCGTTCTTATTTTAAGATTGTCTTAAGTAATTTCTTAAGATGTCAATATCCTCTGTTTGATTGATGACATCTTAAGATTATACTTCAGATATGGTCTATTTTCTGTTTCTGCACTAGACTGCACTAGACTATACTAGAACTCTCTTCCTCGCTTTCGACTAATATTAAACATATACCTATTTTACTTTAAATGAATTTCTAAAAGTGTACACTGATTCAGCTCGAGAAAACAGACCTATAGTCAAATATAAGAATCGACCATGAATATCAGCCAAAGCGTCGGTCGACTGTTGTATTGTTTATTTATTACAATTAAATTATGTCACCCATGTATATGGTCACATACAATGCCATGGATTTTTCATAAACGACACAATAATTGACTTTAGACTTTATCTATTATGTACTCTTATGAGTTTTCTAAAATAAAGTGTTAATCACTACTCATATCATATTACTAATAATTCAGAATTATAAGTCATAAATCTTAAACCTACAATTGTTTAAGGTTGTAAATAATTATAGTTGTATGTAAAAAAACTAATTACAGTCCAATTTAAGGAAAATATTAGGTGTTGGAATTAATTCGTAGCGTTTTACAAGTGATGGGAAGTACTTTCATTAATGTATTTTTTAATGCTCATGTGAAATAAATAACATTCTTTCATTAAAAAACGCTACGAATTAATTCCAACACCTAATAATTGATTATGATCGGTTCAATTCTTACAACTATAATCACTTATAACATACACAATTGTAGAATAGGCTCTTCAAAAAACTTATATCATAAATCATATTAGATCGTTATGGCATAACATCTGAGCCAATTAGAAGGATGGTAGATTCTCAGGACAAATAATAATATACTATATGATTGGTCATAACATTTTTTAAGTTTTAAATGATAAGAAATGGAATCTGACCATTTCCACGCAGTCACTGATTACTAATTTAATGTTGTCTTATGACACACTACAACTCGCTCCTAATCTATTGCTAATGGCTTATTATAGAAAGCCTACTCTTTCTTGAAAGACGCGGAAAAAATTGGCGGCCCATACAGCACAGAAGCTTGTCGCAACATTACAATATTACTGTAATATTGCTGGAATGATCTATTTGTATGGGTGAACGCATCTATATATATGAAACTGTGATAACTTGGGGGATTATAGTCGGTATTCATAGTCGATTTTTATATTAGAGACTATCTGAAGTCTTAAGATGTCATTAGCCAATCAGAGGGCTGCATTAGCATCTTAAGACATTACTTAAGACGATCTGAAAATAAAAACAGACTATGAATACCGTCCTTACATAACGAATTGATGCGTGGGACAAATCAGACGACAGATCAGACAATTAAAACAAGCGACTTCTTTCCTTAGCGACTCCTCGGAGGCATCGATTAATAAACGTGATGTCTCGTCGTGGTGGCGGCCACTTTGCACTCGCTCGCGCTACCGGGTGTACGCGCTCGGGCCTGGCTGAAATATCGGTCGTAAATAATAAAAGTTAGCGAGGTTCCTCTCTGGCGCGCACGCCGGGACTTTAAACCGGAAGATAGGTGTCGCAGGATACGGACGAGGGAGGCGGTCGCGGCAAAAGTGGCGGCGGGTCGGGGGACCGAGGTGCGGCGCGGGACGGAGACAAAGACGCACCATTGTCAACCGCTCCGCCATCGGAACCGCCATCCGCCGCGGGAAACTTTGAATCATTTTTATTGCATAGAGTTATCTTTGTTACCAGCGGAACGAACGTCTAAACGCGTTTTCTCTCTCTCATCCTCTTTCTCACCCTCCCACCCGGGCTATCTTTCTCTCTTTCTCTCTCTCTCTCCTCCTCTCGTGCCTTTCGCCAGGTCATTACGCTCTCTTCCCCTTTTTGTTCCCCGCCTCCCCGTCTCCGACGGCCGGGCCGGGAGATAATACGAACGCGAAAGCGTTCACACCCCTTTGGCTGCCCAAATGGAATAAGTTCTTTAATTCGCGGATTTACCGCCGGGCAAACGAATCGCCCGCGCTGTCGCCGAGATAATATTCGGACGAAAGAGGGCCATTTCTTGGCCGAACTTTTCATTCGCCGCGTGTCTTTCTCTCGAGGATCTCGGTACTCACTGAAAGTAAATGAGTTTTGTGGAGCGTTAAAGCTCGGAGTTTATAAAAATATTTAAAATGCCTTAATATATCGAGTAAGGATCAAAAAAATATTAACAAGATAATTAACAAGATGCCTGTAAAAACAAAGCTCTTATATGTTTTAGATAATTTAATTTTTAATACATACCTACTTTTTAATATTTTAAATTCTTATATTGGCATTTGCTAAAAGATTTATAATACATATTTAAATTTATAATAGATATTTTCTTATACAATATTAATAATAAATTATAAATATTC